AGGGACCCCATGTAGGTTCAATTCTTGTAAATGAACAAACACAATGAATCCCAACTGTTCCTAATGATAATCATAATCAAATGGACAAATGATTTTCAGTTTTTTGTAGAAATGCTTCTTTAATATACATATATTATCTCAACTCTAGACGGTTCAAATCGTTGAATCAGATTGTGAAGTGACTCCAACAATGCGATTTCTTTCGATAACCACTTACAAATTACAACTATACAAGTGAGTTTGGATTCTGTCATTTCACTATTCTAGATACCCAGTTGCCAAATAACACATTCTAATTATGTACCCATGCTTTGCACTCAACTTTTAGTCTTAGATTGTAAAATACAATCCAGTTTAGTGCAGTTAATCTCATCAGAGTGTGATTCAATGCAAAGTACCAAAGTACAACAAAAACATTACCAATATAAAAATAATTTATCCAATAAGGTGCATATTAGATTATAGCATATGCTTAGCTGGACCACTAAGAATAATGACATATCCATTAGGAAACTGTCCAGAATAATTGCCCAAAACAATGACTTTTTTTTTTTTTTTGGAAGTTTCTTCACCTAAACAATGACTATCACTGATACATATTCAATCCCTTGACTTCCGCCTGAAATGCTGCAAATCCTTTTGACATGGGGCACCCCAAAAGCTTCTCTACCATCACTTTCCTTTTTGGCTTAGCACCTTCTAAAAGCTCTCTTGCTAGTTATTACAAAAGGGATTTGCATGACGAGGCAGGCGAAAACAATGTCACCATCCAAAATCACATGAGGTCACATGTCCATATCCATACTTTGCTTTTTTCGTTTGTGATTTGGGGACCTCTCACTTTACTATTGAAAACCCTAGGCTCCATGTCATGATATATATATATATATATATATGGATCTTAATCCTTCATCGTAATTCATGAGGTTTGTGGTTTCATATTATGTACCCCTTGAAATGCCTTTTGGTTATTGTATGACTTAATGCCCTAATGGAGACTTGTCATAAGTAGGATGGTGGGCAAGTAAGTAGGATGGTGACCATGTCCTTGCCCTCGTCCATATAAAAGAATGCAATATATGTCAACGGTTGAGGGATCAATTCCTTCTAATGTAACCAAAATAATCTGTCAGGAAACAAATAGTTCAATTTTTTATGGTCTATAGTACCAAAGTATTTAAAATAGGAAAATACTTCTCTTCTTCCCTGTAAGTAAGAACTCGTGTTTTGTTGATAATCCGATCAAGCAAGTATATAAGGTTAACTAAAACATTTCTAAATGAATTTAATATATACAGGGGCAGAACTAACCTAGGGGCTGCCTTGGGCCGTAGCCTAGGGAAGGTTTTGGGGAAAAAAATAATAATTAAATATATATATAGCCTAATATTTTTAACTGAAAAAAAAAATACAATTGCATATCCTATCACATAGTGGCGGACCTATTGAGCACCTCCCCTGGCCAGAAAAACCATTGTAGGTGCTTCAAATTGCCCATTTGCTCAGCTGGTGATGGTGCACTCCAGGTATACAGATTACCTTATTTCCATTTTCAACATTTAAGTAAATGTCTTACTCAATTTACTTAAGTTTACAATGTAAATAAGGAAGTACCCTCATTTGGATTCAAATAAAAATACTAGAAAATCAAATTCCCACCAAATCAAAATATGAAAAATATGTTTTAGTGCAAAATACAATTTAGGCTAAAAATAATGGCTCATTAAGTCAATATATATTTCATACTAAAATCCCATAAAATCAAGTTTTCTTATTTGAAGTATAAAGAATAAAAGCCACCAAAAATTATCTTGAGAAAATGATTATTCTGAAAAACCATTTTTTCATACTTAGTCAATAATTTTTCATGTATGATATGAATGCATAAAGGGGACTAAGGTCAATCTAGGTAAAGAGCCTTAGATGCTCAATCCACAAAGAGTTTTTAACATTTCAAAATTGCACATAAAATTCATGGGTCCACCAGTGCTACCACACCAATAGTCATAGTCAAAGGTCCTCCACATTTGTATTTGGTGTTAAAGTTTGTCCCAAACATCAATTTTAATCCTTTTCCATTAACGTATCTCCAAAAGAGAAGCATTTTTCTAAATAAAATTCACCCTTTTGTGAATAATATGGTTCTAATTCCATTTTTTTTTCTTGTGTTTACAACTAGCGTGATTTATATGATTTAATGTATATTTTTATTTCTAAAAAAACTATAGAAACTGTTAGTACCACAAAAAAAATATATCATTAGATTTTAAGTTAATAATTTTAGCTAGCTCACCCATTAAAAAATTCCTAATTCCACTCTTGAATATATAGTTATTATTATTCTTCCTCTAAGGATTTTCCTTTCTACAGTTCCATATAACAAGATTCCATTTGAAAAAGTGCATTTAGAAGTAGATTAATATTCAACAACTTTCTATTACATTGTATTTTACTTCATGAGGTAGTAGGTTAACTCTACAAAGCTTACAATAAGTAGGGTTTCATTCAATGTAGTAGCTGTAAAGCAGAAATGTGGTTGACTTTAATGACAATCCTGCTCTTTATATGGACGTGACATTTTCTTTTCCTTCTAATTCCTTTTTATTTTCTTGATGGGGATATTAATTCATTATGAGATTATCATTATTATTATTATTATTATTATTAAAATAACAATAATATTATATATTATTTACGACAAACTACTACTCAATCATGTACTAGAGACATGAAATGAGGCAGAGATAGCCCCAGAACATGGTTTGTCCAACAACATTGGCAACTTGAATTGAGTGGAGGGTTCCCTTATAACCAGGGCATCGTTATGGCCTATTTTCAGTAAATCAATGTCTATGCATTATAGTTTGAACGCAGAGGGGAAGGAAGACTTTGGGAAGGCTATGGAATTTGTCACTTTTTTAAAGGAATAATTGAACATGACACAATTAATTTCTCTTGGCATGTCTTTCGATGGAGAAACGTCAACGGGGTCTAGGTCATTGACTTGCAAATTAATGGTCTCAGATTCGGACTCTTTTCGCAATGTGTGAATATGTGAGAAAATTCCCCTCTCCCTATATCCATTGTATAACAAAAGAAAATCGATGGAGAAACTAAACTAAACCAAGCCACTATGCAGTGCTACGTAGATATGAGAACTAAACACAATGAACTGTTTCTACAATATTTAAACCAGAACCGGCCCAATTCAAAATCATATTCTTCTGGCCGAACGGCAAGACAAATCCAAAAGGTTGTAGTTTAGTTTCCTTGCCACATGTCGTTACATGGCTGACAACAACAATCACATGCTGCTGTCTTTGGGAAAATTCAATCCAAACGACATAAGAGAACAAAAAGGAAGGACAAAGAGAAATGAGAATTTCTGTAGCCCTCCATGGAAAGGGCCATGAGCTCAAAATGGGGTCGGCTGTGTCCCGTTGAATGGGGAGATTCAAGTCAAAAACATGGTAGATGTCCGCATAAATGAAGTGGTTGTGACTTGTACAAAAATAAAACATGTACCTTAGACACTACACATGCAAGAGCCAGAGCTTTGTGTTTGTTTGGGGCCTTTGGCCAGTGGAAGAAAATACATACAAAATATCCGTATGCTTTCTGAAAAAACTGGAAAGAAAAATGCAGAAAATCGTTATGAAGTTCAAATCCAACACACTTAACCTTAAACGTCTAAGTGAGGTCGCTTTCAACATAAAACACGGTACCAACACGGAAAGAAACGCAAACATTGAAAAGCCCTGTGTCGAAGCTGAGTAAGAAACAGAAGAAATATCCGACTATTTACTTAAAAGGAGTCATTCTTCCTTATACACAAATTACAGTTTAATACGGGTGCAAAAGTTGTGCTTGTTGATGTACAGCTCTCTCTATCAGTTTTTCTTTTATATTTTTGTTGAATGATTGGATTTGTTTTTATGTCATTGGCTGTTTTGTTGAGAGCCTCCTCCTTCAAACAGGAACAGTGTCTTCTATGATGGGCATTATGGTTTGGTGAGTTGGCGTTGGCCCATTACATACCATGGCATGGATGTGTGCAAGAAAGGAACTTTTGTCAAGTTCCATCAGATTCAATTTGTGGCACATAAATTTGGCAGGTTTGGAAAATACTTACCTCCTTATTATATTATGTAAGTAGGAATTTCTACATTCTTGCTAATAGCAGTGTGACATGTGTAGAAAAGTTTTTCTTTTTATATTTTTGATGAATTATTTTTGTATATGTGTCAAACTGTGATTTGTAGAAAGGAAAATTATCTATTTATAAGGGACGCAAACAATATCCTTAAATAAAATATTGATGAAGAAAGAAAGCATCTGTTGCTCAGATTTTCCCGATTGCATGTCATCCTTGCACATAGACCATGCTAATCTTCTCTGTATCGTTTTAATTTTATGTGATGTCCCAAACTCCCAAAGGGACTTGTTCGTCAGATTTTGCTTTACACTATTGAGAATTCTTTGACCACTTATAGGACCATCCAAATAACATAAACAAGAGCTTTTTTTGGTAGTTATTTTCTTGCTTGTCTAGAAACTATGGGAGTTTGCCACTATCGTCAGCTGATTACATTATTGCCATATTTGAAATTGAAAGTATAGTATAGCACGTCTTTTTCACGATACGGAGACCATGATGGCATTTACAATCCTTTCTCCCTCAAATAACAAAGGGAGAGTTTGGAAAAACACAAAGGAAAGAGAAAATTTGTAAAAGAAGCCAAAATGGACAAAATTGCCCTTATTTATTTTTGGATTTCCTAAGAAATCATTTACATTTGCATGTCTTTGATTTGAAAGTTTAGAAGTTTTTCTGTCTTTTTTGAAAAAGCTTTGGCTTTTTCCAAAAGTGAAATTTTTTTTGTTGCTAAAACCTAAATTTACTAATAAAAGAAAATAGAAAAGGACAAGGAAAAAAAACAGCATGAACCGAAATACTGAGTCTAGAACAGCATTGGCAAAGCAGAAAAATCAAAGTTTTATAATTTGGAAGCCATATGATTTGATTATTAATGAATAGCAAAGTAGCTTACAGAAAATCCAAAAAGAGAAAGGAAAAAAAATGGAGTAGCCTATAGATGCAGTTAGTCCTTTGCTATATTAAAAAAATCAATACCCAAAAGAAAAGAAAAAAAGAAAGAAATGATGTAAACATCACTTAATGCTACAAAATTTACTGTTACTAGATCACTGCTTGGGACATGCTTTTAATCCCTTGAAGCAGCAGATAAATAATGGGAAACTGAAACAGGGACTGACGAGGCATTTTCCTATTCCGAATCCTTGAGGCTCTCACTTGTCAGCCATATTTTCTTTTGGATAATAAACACAACGTCGTCTCCATCCTGGTCTGAATCTATACTGGAGTCGGCTACTGCCACTGCTTCCCAGTGCAATGCCGTTAGGTACTTCTTAACAAAATCTACCACTGATTGTTTGTCACGGATGATTACAAAACCAGTAGGCCGGAGTATGCGATCCATCTCAAGCAACAGATCCTCAGCACTACATTCCTTCTTTTCTATGTCAGAGAATACAGTCCAAGCATGGAGTAAATCATAAGTGCGGGGGTATGTCGAATAGGCTTCACACCTGTCAAAGTAGACACTCCAGTTAATCACAATACAACAAATCCTAATGCAATCTGAATCTTCTTTTTATCCTAACAATCTCTAAGGCATGATTTTGAAAAATGAGCAGAAGATGTAAATCAATCATCTAACTGATTAACATGAGATAGGTTCACTGAGTTAGGAACATATGAAGACAAAGTTTCAAAGACTGTTTGCCGCTTGCAGTCACTAAGCGAAGTTAGATATTTTCTAACACCCTAAATGGATCTATATTGCTCACTAAGTCTAGAAAGGCAACATATAACCAGCCCCCTCCTTAACTTGAAGGTTCTATAAAGTTCTATGACTCGAGGTGTGAAAAACATGATGGCAGAACAGACCTTAAATGGATATAATATTAAATGAGTTGTTTCATCAAAATGACATGCTTTAAATATTTCAGTAACTTGATTTGCATACCAGCTGTGAACGGAGCCTATAAGGCCTCTGTCATATATCAGCTTAAGTGTATTTGGTCCATCTTCAGGGACAACATTCATCACCCAAACATCCTTGTCCTTCAGAGCAGCTGCAAACGACCCCATGTTTGATTTCATATCCATCACATTCCTCAGAGTGTTTGATTCGATCTTTGGACTCAAGAGATTCCAATAATTCTCAACTCTGTGTCGCCAAAGTTCCTGCACAATAAGAGCAATACCAAAGCAATGAATTCATATAACATGTTTCTGAGTAGTACATCCATAAAGCAAACAGTGCAAAATTACAATCTAAAACGTGTAAACAGAGTGCTTGCAATTGTACCGTATCCTTTTCAAACATTTCATTTGAATAGCCAAAATCAGCAAGTCGAGGAGGAGGAGCTGTCAATCTAGCTGGCCAGGGAGCCAAACCACTCCCCTTTTCCCTATGGTCATCTGGTTATGCCAAGAAAAAACATTTGTTAGCAGACGGATCCATAGCCAGGTTAAATCCTACTTGATAAGGCATCCCCATAAAATTATGAATGGTTTTTCCTTTAAATAGTTTGAAAACCAATGCTGCTTATGTTTAGGTATTCGTCAACAAGAAAATAATGACCTACATTGATGGGAAGAAAGACATTCACATAAATCTACAAAACAATATGGAAAACCGAAAAAAGAAAAAGAAAAAAAGAAATCACTAGATCTTCAAAGCAGGTCATGAATAATGATGACAATGAAAATATCACCGCTAATTGTTATGACGAGATCTTTTTTGGCACCTCAAATTTGAGAGCCGTAGAAGACCAGGTGTGTGTTAAGTGTTAAAAAAAAAACATTTTCGGAGGTTTTGAGATCACAATCACAATCATGATTTCTGGAACACAAAACAATCATATTAAAAAGAACCAAATCTAGGACAAAACAATAAAATGTAGAACAGTTCAAAAATATACTGTGCAGTGATAACAATTTCTTCATTTTTGGTTTTTCTCAAACACTGATGACATATTTAGTATTTAAAAAAATTGTTTCCCATCCCAAGTGGCACACAGCCCATTTACTCTTAATTTCAATTCTTTTGTTCTCGTGTTGTCTAGAATCTAGATATCTAACCATAGTTATTTGAAGAAGTTATACAAGGACATTGCTATGAAGATCATTCCTGCATTCCTTGTGTGCCCTTCGAGTCATTCCCGATGTTGATTTTGTCTATTTTTGGCATATAAACAACCAAATAATTGGAAATATGCCAGTATCACCTTAAATCGCACAACAATATTGCTAACCAATATAAGTTTATTTCAAACCAGTTTCCGTTTATGTAAAAAATAAAACATACGAAGGAAACACTCACGATCAGAGTATGTTGAGATGCAAGCTTCCATTGGCACACCCCATACTGCATCCGGATCATCATCAGATCGACAGAGAGGAGGTTGAGTACCAGGTTCTCTCTCCATATAACAGTCATTTGTTAGTGGTTTTTGCCAAATGACAGTTTGGTTCTTCTTCGCAGCTATTCTCCAACACATGCGTTCCACAAGGGCACTCATCTCTCTCCATATTTTAAGATCCTCCTCATCTTGTGCATATGCTTCTGGAGATGAGTATGCAAAGTAGCCTCCTGGTCTGAGCAACCTATCCAGCTCAAGAAGAAGGATCCCATCTCTTTGAAGCCAATCAATTCTACAACGGGAACAGTGAGCAAGTTCAAAGGATCTGCTTGGGTAAGGAAGCCTTTTGGTCCCTAGAACACCAAGATATGCTGGAATTCCTCTTTCTAAAGCAAATTGGATCTGGTTTTGATGCACATCATTGGGTGCCAAGGACATTGCTATGATATCAGACGATAGCAAATAGGCTCCAAAACTTGCAACTCCACAACCAACATCAAAAACTGTTCGTAACCTTCCTTCATTGTTTAAATTGTTGTTTGAAAAGTTGAGCATCTGCCAGTTGAAAACAACATAATCATTATTGCTTCATCCATGCAACACAAGATGTCTAAAAAGTACCAAAGGAGCTGAAATTCTAAATATAGAAATACAAGCACTCAATCAATAGGAAATGGGTAGATAAAAGTTCGCAAGATCCTATACAGCCAAATTAAAGTTGAAGTTCACAAAGATATTTAAAGGGATAATGTCAGCCACCAATACTTTTCTTGAAAAAGACAAAGTGGAAGCATTCTTACATTTGCAATTGAAGCAATATACTTATCGGCTCCGTAATGAAAATGTGTGCCTCCCCCAGGGAACACTATCTTTTCTCCTTTTACAACCATCCAGTTCTGGTCAGATTTCTCTTGTGCAAGGTGAGTATGAGGTATGTTTACTTTCCATACTTCATCTCTGCTTTGGGGCCATTTGATTGGGACCTGTAGATCAAGTTAACAACAGGAATGTTTACTATCAACATAATCCGGGAATAGAAGATAACTGCAAGAATAAGAAGATAAACACCAGTTTTACTAAGCTTTAACACAACAATACCTTGTACCCCGGTGGAGGAGGAATCAAGCAATTGTACCGCCTTTCTGGAGCAGGGCAATGTCTCTCATAGTGCTCCATCAAAGACAGGTCCAGCTTCAGTCTCATTTGGTATATAAGATTTCTGTCTAAGCAGGGAATAAGTTCTGAATGCCGATCATCACAAACCTTTAAAAATCATGAGTAGACAAATGAAACAAGGACACAACATGTCAAACAAGACAGTCCGAAAGATACGGGGTTCCAAGTTTAGCAATATAGAACTCACAGGGAAGCTCTTCATAATGACATCCTCCTCTCCATCTTCCTGCCCATATTTTGTTGAAGATTCATCCTGCTTGCTATCATTATCTTCATCCCCTCCCAAATAAGATGAACCGAGCTTTCTCCACGATCTGCTACCATATTCTAGTGCTGATGCACCATGACTTTGAGAGCCAAAAATGGACCCATGATATACATACAGGAAACCAAGAAAGATTCCCAAAACACACAGAGATGTGATTATACGCTTCTTTTGAGACAGATCAGATCTCCCCCTCGTCATTTATGTAGTTTTGAAGTTCTTCTAACTAAAAATATCTGCTATGTAATTCTCTGTTGCAAATGCCAAGCGTTGCCTTTCCAAAGCTCTTATATGAAAGACAATGCCACAAATTTCTTAAAGATCCATTAGACTAGATACAATAAACCTGTAAAACAATACCAAACAACACCATCAAAAATTGCAGCGCATCAGGACATAATAAGAGGTGATATTCTGCTGTTGCATGCATACTCAGTTCAAAAGCTCAAAGAACAAGGGTGCAAAATATTGTTGCACCAGTTAAGAACAAACGAAAAGATATTCTTGCTCATTCTCGGCAATGAAAATCTTCAGAACGGAAATCAAGATACAATACTCAAGCAGTCCAGTAATCATACAAAACATATTTAAATAATTAAGGGCACAGAGAATAAAAAATTGGATCCTACCACTCAAACGCCATCTATTAGAATCACACACAAAAAATTGTCAACTAACAGCTATTCCTAATCACCCCGGTAATGTCAAAATTAAACGTAAAGTTGCTAATTTGCCTCACAAGAGTTGAAACATCCAAGAAACACCTATGGACCATTAATTGATAAAGTGGGAAAAGCTACTTGATGCTAACCAGGTACAATTTTATCTGGTAAATTGGCAACTAAGCAATGAAAGTGATTGATCCAGCATAAGCCAAAAAAAAAATATATATATATATATATATATATATATAAACGAAAATAGATGTTGGTCCATGTTTCTCCACTGCACTGAAAGGGAAACAATGACGGCATTCAATGAAGTTTACTCACAGATCCGGGACAAAAATCCAATTACATTTTGCAGAACAGAAACTCATCAACAACCCTTCACTCTTGCAATAAAAAAAACTACCAAATTCATATCAGTAAGCATCAAACCCACCAAATAAACTAAATCCAGAATGCAAATTCACCCAGATCCAGCAAAAGATCAGTACTTTTTACAAAATGAAAAATGGAGCAAGAGCTTACTAGAGTTTCGATCGAATAACGAAGTGGGGAAGTCAGACAGTGGTCCATAAAGATCACTGCTTTAGTATGAAAGGATCCAAAGTGAGACGCTATGATACTTCCTTATAAGGAAAGGGGAGGGAAGAGGCAAAAAAAGAAAGAAAGAGGGAGATTAGATCTCAAGAGTTTTTGGGTTTTGTTATTCTATATTTGAGTCTGAGCCCAAGAGAACGAGGGGCAAATAGTGTTCAACTGTTACGTCGATATCGTTATGGTCCATACTTTCAATAAAAATTCATAAATGCAAAAGTTCACTTTCAGATTTAATCACAGACAAGGGTAAATCTAATTCACAATTCATACTCGAATTATGAACTACATTTATGGCTGCCATTAAAAGGGGAAAATAACCCAAGTTGATCTTCAAAACTTCTGTTGTGTTGTGTTTATCATTATGGTCAAAACTACAGTCTTCTAAATTTCTATTTAACTATACCTCTAGTTGGACAGCATATATTAGATTTTAAATTCTAAACGTTTACCATGACACCACAAAGAAAATTTGGTAGCATGACATCGCTTTGATCAGAACAAGAACATAAAGACAAAAGGAAGAAAGTTTGGGATTAAAAAAAATATATTATGGCAATTATGTGTCACTGTAGGATACTGTTTGCCTTCTTACTTATCAGGAAAATTTATCTTTTTTGTGAATTACAATTTAACACATATGTAAAAATAATTTATTAAAAATATTTATAAAAAAAAATTCTGTACACATATTACATTACTATTTGCAAAAATATAAAAACTTCTACTTATATGATAAGAAGGGGAGTATTTTCCGCCACTATGTGCTTGTAATGTTCTTATTGTATCGTAATAGGATTGTATGTATTTATGGACTTGATTGAGATACATATGATATGACAGGACTAATTTAAATGAGATGTCAATGTGCATAAAGAGAAGCCTCACCGACACATCTGACAAAGACGACAATTAACAAATGACAATACTTGCCGCCAGAAGTCCAATCACTTCACGAGTTTTCAACCATTAAGCGACTTTAACCTCAATATATTTCTGTATGGATTATAACGTACAAATAAGATTACAACCAATTAATTATTTATTTAGTGTTACTTCTCTTTCAAAATATTAAAAGAGATCTTAAGTTAGAATTTTCTCTTTAAGAAAAAGTTATTAAAAAAATACCCTAAAGCTTGCACATACAAAGTTTGACGATCTCCTTCTCTCAACTCCTTTGTTCTACGTTCTTCTCCTCTCAATACTTTAACACTTACTTTTCATTTATTTATGATAACAAGTAGGGTCCAAATTCTCTTTGCCAGGTTTTAAATGATATATATATATGGTTATAAAATTGGAGAATTATGCGTTCTATTAACTGTTTAATGTTACTCTAAAGTTGAAAGAAATCTCAAATTTGAATCTTCATCGCTTATGTGTGTTTTTTTAGTACAATTGATAGTCTAAACTATAAAAGATAATAATTTTTTATACACACACAATTATGATGTTATGAAGATTCGAACTTGAGACTTCTAATTTATAAGTTAAGGCTCTCTCCATTATACTAGACCCTGTTGCAGTAGAGAGAAAACTAATTCTCAGCCAAGATTGAATCTCCCTTGCTTGTTAGATTAAAAAAAAAGTATATTTCTTTTTTTCTTTTTTTTTTATACAAGTGATATTAAAGGAGAAGAGAATTGAACTTAAAACCTTATATACTGAGGTAAATACTTTTAACCACTTGAGTTATAAATTTCTACCAAATATATCTAGTTCTTATCAACAAGGGAAGCCTATATCATGGCAAGCACTCCATTTGTCAACATACCAATTGATTAGTACTTCAACACTCTTCATTAATGCGAGTTGTTTAAATTATAGATTTTTTTATTATAAAAAAGTCTTCAAGATAATACACAGGATGAAGTCTAATCATGAAAAAGATTGGCCAACGCTCTTCTGGAAAGAGGTAGCATGTGACTTGCCAGTTGCCATGCACCATGTCCAATGTGGTGAACTGGTGGTCAAGGGAAACTGTGATAAGGAAGGTTGGAGTGGATTTAAGATCTGCCTTCCATAATTTAACATGAAATGAAAACACAGCATCCACTAACTTATCACTACGTATAGATCATTGTTTGGCAGGACTGTTAGACTATATTGCAGCTTAATTATGGTTAGGACAGTTGGATTAGTAAAGAGTTTCTTAATGAGTTAGTGTTGTTATTTTTTTATTTTTATACAAGTGATATTAAGTGAGAGAAGAATTGAACTTAGAATCTCGAATGCATGCATAAATACTCTTAACCACTTGAATTACAAATTTTGTTTTTTTATTATCATTATTTTCCATTTTGAGCTTCCTTCATAGTATTACACAAAATCATTCTCTCCCACGATGTTTTTATTTAAGTCATTGACAACTTTGAAAATCATAAAGGTCTTATCATGCCACACTTGTCCTTGACGATCCCTTGCTTTGAATTGAAGCTTTCGGTTGAGCTAGCCTGGCAGTCTTCCCTTCATTTTCTTCATTAGCCTTTTGTATTTGGTTGCTCACCACTACACTCACCAACTATTGTTCCCCTTCACATATTTTCCAATCGATTTTACATGGGTGTTCTTAATTAAGGTCTTACTTTAAAGTTTATTTTCTTTAAATAAGTTAAACATTGTCATATAATTTAACTCCCACGTAACTTTATAAGGATTAAATGCATAAGATAAAACTCTTCATATTATAGGATCGATTTTAAATTGATACACAATCTTTTAAAGTTCGACAAACTAGTACACACACTCAACTAAATCATAGACATTATCCTCCGTTCAATTAGTTTGTTTGAAATAATGTTTACTTGGATACCCAAGGCTGATCTTGACATTTTAGGGGCCTGACCGGCAAAAAAAAAGGTCCTCCCTGCAAATAATGACCAGATTACAAATTCTTGATTTTAGTGTTTTTACTTTTGTCTAGTAAATGAAACATGAAAATATGTAGATGGAAAAGTCAGATGGAAATAGGGTTGAGAACCGATTAGAAGAAGGTCATGTGTAGCTAATGAATTGTATTACTCCAGTTAATGAAATTTACTTCTTTTCGATAATTTTTTTTTAATTTTTTAATTTTTAAAGAGTCGAGAATAGTTTTTGTGGGATCCGAAACCCAGCAATTGGGAGTTAAAAATGGAGCAACTTAACGAACTCCACTCCACCTACGATTCCATGATATGGTGCTGCACTTTCAGGGGGTCCTCCTTTAGAGGTGCGGTTGCTCCACTTGTTCCATTCCATGTGAGGGCGGACTCGGTGGATAGTGTGGGTTTTAACTTTTTATATATAAAAAAAATCTTACTCTGAACTGAACCCACCCAATGGGTCAAGAGATCAATTTGGGACGTTAGACCAATTTGCCATGACCACAACGATTGGCGATTGGGCTTGAACCTGTTTTAGTAACTGAAATTGGGCCCATCTTGTGAAAAATCACTCTTTTAAAGGGCCAATATAGGAAGGGAAGATTGTCCAACTCCTTATTTTGATTTTGATTACGGATTTCTGTGTTTACTTCATATAAATGAATGAAAATGTAAATGAGTTTTTGTCAACGAGATCTAGCCTAGTGGAAAATGTCCTTGACTTAGAGCATCTCCAAGAGAGATGTCAAATATCAAACATCAAATTTAAATTTAATGGCTGATGTGGCAATTTGACATATTGTAAAACTCTTTATCCAACCAAGATGTCAAATATACATTTTATTTTATTATTTTTAAAGGCAGGTGGGCCCGATATTTAAGAGTAAAATATTAAATAGAGTTAAGAACTATACATGGAAGAGGAGAGAAGAAAGTGGGCTCAGCATTAAAATAAAATAAAAAAATAAAAAGACATCTCAACATCTTGGCTTCAATTTTGACAGCAAAAGTGAAGGATGTCAATCCAACTAGGATTTGGCATCACGGTTGGAAGACTTAAATTGTCTTTTTCTTGGGTTAAAACTTGCCACGTTAGAATTGGCATTTCGATTGGAGATGCTCTTATAGACCAATAGTTTTAGGTTCGAACTCATATAGCACCTTCATAGTGTGTGTGTGTGAAACCCACATCTCCTTTGTAGTTTAGACTATCATTTGTATTTAAAAAAATATATATAAATAGGCCCCATACAAAATCATGAATTCAACTCCTAATTTTGAAATAATTTGAATATAAAATAATTTATTTAGAACAAAGACATATTAGTAATCAAATTAGTTTCAATTCCAATTTTAGGGAAATTTAATAAATAATTATAGATTAGTAAACATGCTGATAATGATGCCAACCTAATTCTTTCATGAAATGAAGGATGATGTCAAGTACCAACGACCAGGTACAAAAAGAGATAATGTAGCACTAGCCCTTTGGATGTGCTCACACATGTGCCAATTGGTTTTCTTTTTTTTTTTAAACAAATTTTATTTTTAGAATTAAGAAAAGATAACATGGGTAGTTATGTTTCATAAAAGTAGGATCTATTATTTGATTTTGTTTTTAATTTTAATTTTTTTAATATGAAAAAAATGTAAATTTACCATATCATCCTTATTTAATTACTAATTTCAATTCTTAATATTTGAATTAACCAAGGGCATTTTCTGGTATTTTGAATGTTTCACCATTCTTTGCCTTTTGCTATATATATATAGATGATGATTTAAAGGACAATGTGTGACATGTTATATATTTTTTTGGGGAATTACATCAAATAACTCATTTTAATGAGCAATAACTACAAGTTAAATAATTTTGAGTACATGTATAGCATTTTTGGGTAGCATTGCAACGGCGTAATTTAGCATCACTTCAGTAAAGACAAAAAAGAGCAAAAGAAAAGTTCTTTATATAAATTTCCTCTTATTTGAATCAAATTCTACGTTTTCTCCTTATGTAAGACCATCTCCAGCCATAGGGCTAAATATAGTCTAGGGCTAAAAATTTAGCCCCCCCAAATATTAATTTTTTAAAGAATAGTACATGGCTAAATTTTTCCATATCCAGCCATGCAGTGCTATATTTTTGGGTCTTTCATATTTTATTATTTTGAGAAAGGGAAGTGGGGAGTGCTTTAATGTTTGGTGGTTAAAAAGTACATGGTGGGGCCCACTATGAATTTGGCCTAGGCCAAAACTGGGCTACATTTGGCCCGGTTGGAAAGCTAAAGGGCCAAATGTGGCCCTCCAAATTTGGCCAAAATTGGATTTAGCCCATGACTGGAGATGAA